CCTATAGCTCCGACCTCGCACCTTGCGATTTTTATTTATTTCCGAAAATAAAAGAAAAACTTCGAGGAAAACGTTTTATGGACGCCGAGAAAAAAGTGGCTGCGTTTCAAAATGCCGTCGAAGAGACCCTAAGGACGAGTGGGCAAAGTGCTTTTCTCAGTGGTTCCATCGGATGCAGCGGTCAATTGATGTAAATGGGCACTATTTTGAAAATATATAATAAAACTAATAACTTGCTAGTTTGTTCTATTTTTGATTTTCTAAGAACTTTCAGTGTCACCCCTGCATAGGGATGTAGAGCTTCCAAAGCGCGTCCCGTCTACTTGATGACTCCTACACATCGCCCTCACTCTCTTATCACGTTTTTCATTCACTCACTTTTGTTACCAGTCCTAATAATTAGAATAAAGTAAGTTGCAAAAGTAAGGTGCCGTGTAGTGTCGGTTAAGATATTCCACTACCTCATATCTTCCCGTGGGTGTCGTAAAAGGCGACAAAGGGAAACAGGCAGGAGATGGGTAGCAGCATCTTCCTGATAACAGCAAAATTACAATAAAAAAACTGCAGTTGCCAATATGAAGAGAGTAACAAAGAGATAGCCCCCAGTCCCCGGCGGCCCCGCTCTTCCTGGCTACGTTGGCGACCATGGTAACGGCGGGGCAGGGGGTGCTAAGAATCTCCGGTGGAGGTTCGGTTGCCACCTAAGACGACTCGACCTGGCAACAGACAAAGCACGCACCCTGAGGACTGACGAGAAGATTGTGGAGCTGGAAGATAAAGACAAGTTACGCTGGCATATTATAGGATTATCCGAGTTCCGAAGAGAGGGGGAGAACACCGTAATCCTCAAATCCGGCAACTTGCTCTATCACCGGGAGGGCGACCACCGACCATCTGTCCCAAGGAGGTGTCGGATTTATCGTCCACAAGTCTCTCGTTAACAACGTTGTAAAGATTGAGTATGTCGATGAGGGTTGCGTACCTTATACTCAGAATCACCAAACGGTATTCGCTGAAGGTCATACAGGTTTACGCACCAACCTCGGCACATCCCGATGCAGGTGGAGGAAATGTATGAGGATCCTCCAAAACCCACTATACGGTGTAAATGGGAGACTTCAATGCAAAACTAGGCACAAGAGAGATCTGTGAGCTGAAAGTAGGGAAATTTGGCAACGGGCAAAGGAACCCAAGGGGCCAGCAGCTGGCCGACTTCATGGAGAAAGAGGGACTCTTTATGATGAACTCTTTCTTCCAGAAGAGGCCCCACAGGAAGTGGACCTGGTGGAGCCCCGACGGTTCGACAAAAAATGAGATTGACTTCATTATGACGACCAGACGACAACTGTTCAGTGATGTCTCCGTGATCGCGAGGGTGAAAACTGGTAGCGATCACCGAATGGTTAGAGGCACACTAAGCCTAAACGTTAAGTTGGAGAGGTCTCGTCTAATGCTCCGTCCCCCTCGTATTCTAGTCCAAAGTCCCGAAACCTTTCACCTCGAGTTACAAAACCGTTTTCAGTGCCTAGAAGACTGCAATGAAGTGGACGATATGAATGACAAGCTCGTGGAAACTGACTATGCGGTTGGAGCTAAGTTCTGCAAGACCCGCCGCAGAAGAACACTAAAACTCTCCGATCACACTCTTAATCTCATGGCTGTTAGACGGGAGATGAAGCTACATTCTTCAACAGATTTGACAGCGTACAGGCAACTGAACAGACAGATCTCCTGCCATAATCCTTATTTAAATAGCCATAGTAATTGCTCATTTGATAAAATCACCAGGACTAGTACCATTAAATATCTCGGTGTAACTATTGATCAGCATCTTACATGGAGTCAGCACATTGAAAGCATCGCTGACAGGATAAGAAAACTAACATGGGTGTTCAAAAAACTCAGGTGTGTTGCAAATGAAACGACCCTCATTACCATCTACAAAGCTCTTGTGCAATCGGTACTGAGTTATTGTATACCTGTTTGGGGTGCTGCAGCAAAAACACGTATAGTAGCACTAGAAAGAGCTCAAAGATCTCTAATTAAGGTAATGTTCTTTAAACTGTTTCGATTTTAAACTTTTGAACTACATAAGTCTTATAAATTGCTTAAATAAACACTCATCGACATTTACCTTATATACACCAAAACGTAGGAGCACCAAAATTTGCCATATACCACAAAATAAAACAAAATTTAAGCAAAAACAATACGCATTCCAATCCATATCTCTTTACAATAAATTTAACAGCAGATTGCATATTAACCCCCTGACGTGGACTAAAGTCAAACGTGTAGTAACACAATTTTTATTAACACTAAACTACGAAGAAACTGAACAATTTATTACTTAACTTTTATACTTGGAACAGCCTCACCAATTGTTAAAGCACTGCTCACATACCCACAACACACACACACACACACGCACACGCGCACACACACACACACACACACACACACACACACCCACACACTTATTATATTATAAATTACATTACTCCCTAATGCTAGCGCATGCCTTGCCTTTTGTTATTTATTGATTAATATTATTATTATTATATTAGTATAGTCTTGGTGGATGAGCGGGGTACCCAGTAACATAGGTAACCAACCTAGTACAGGGGCCCTTGCGACTGCTTTAAATTGTATCATTGTAAATCAATAAATCATTTTTCATTTTCATCTCCATATGCATGCGGCGGGACTTGTGCAACTTCAATACAGCTTGTATTGAAGAAGCGATCCAGCGGAATGAATGAATGAATATACTTTTATTGTACACCACGAACAAATATACAAATGTCATAACAAAAATCTAATTATAATATGTACAATTTGGCGGCACCAAGGCTCCAGTCTTTGCCAGAGATCTGTCTGCCAGAAAGAGCCAACTGTCAAAGCTGAAGACCAAGTGTGGCAGCATCGTTTTCGGGACACCTGAGATTTTGAGTGAGATTGAGAAGTTCTATGGGCAGCTGTACATGTCATCGTTGGAGCCACACGCAAGTGTGAGTAACGATCCAAGAGCGAGTCTTATCCGACACTATTCCGAAGATATCCCGGACGTCAGTCTGAGCGAGATTAGAATGGCTCTCCAGCACCTTAAAAACGGCATGTCCCCGGGCGAGGATGGAATTACAGCGGAGCTTTTGAAAGCGGGTGGAAAATTTTAGTCCTCACGGGTGACAACGCATCTACATTTTGATTTGTAACAAAGGATAGATGTAGATGTCTATAGGCCGCAGCAACCACTTACCATCAGGTGGACTGTGTGCTCGTTTGTCACCCTTATCCTATTAAAAAAAAGAAAAAAACCGGTACTTGAAGTCCTTCAGAAGCTCTTTAATTGCGTCCTCAATGGTGGCATTACTCCTTGTTCTTTAAGAAAGGCGACAACGCTCTTTTGAAGAACTACAGACCGATTTCCGTTTCGTGACGTGCTGTTTTCGAGAGTCATTACGAATCGTCTCGCACGCAGACTTGACGACTTCCAGCCTCCCGAACAAGCCGGTTTCCGAAAAGGCTTTAGTACCGTAGACCACATACCCTTTGGCAAATTGTACAGAAGTCCGAGGAGTATAATTTGCCACTATGTCTGGCGTATGTGGACTATGAGAAAGCCTTTGATTCCGTCGAAATTTGGGCGGTGCTGCAGTCCCTTCAGTGGTACCAAGTTGACTGTCGGTATATCGAAGTGCTGAAGTGTTTGTACAGTAGAGCTACGATGGCTATCCGAGTACAGAACCAGAGTACGAAGCCTATCCAACTGCAGAGAGGTGTAAGACAGGGTGACGTTATATCCTCGAAAATCTTCACCGCTGCATTGGAAAACGTTTCAAGCTACTGGACTGGAAAGGATGCGGTATTAACATCAATGGCGAATACATCATTCAACTTCGATTTGGCGACGATATAGTCCTTATGGCAGAATCGCTGGAGGACTTAAGCACTATGCTCAATGACCTCAATAGTGTCTCCCAACGGATAGCTCTTAAGATGAACGTGGACAAAACAAAAATCATGTTTAACATCCATGTCACACCAATGCCGTTAGTTGTTGGGAGCACTAAGCTCGATATTGTTGACGAGTATGGTTACCTGGGACAAATAGTCCGACTAGGTAAGTCCAACTTCGACCGAGGTGAATCGACGGATTCAACTCGGCTGGGCAGCCTTCGGGAAACTACGACACATCTTCTCGTCAGGTATACCTCAAAATCTGAAAACGAAATTGTACAACCAGTCCGGGTTGCCAGTGATGACTTACGGATTTGAGACGTGGTCCTTCACTGCTGGCCGCATGAGGAAGCTCAATGTCGCTCAGCGAGCTATGGAGAGGGCTATGCTCGGGGTTTCTCAGCGTGATAAACTTAGAAATGAGGATATCCGCTGCAGAACCAGTGTAACCGACATAGCCCAACGGATTAGTAAGCTGAAGTGGCAGTGGGCCGGCCATATAGCTCGAAGAACTGACAACCGATGGGGAAGAAAGGTTCTTGAGTGGCAGCCTCGTATCGGTAGGCGAAGTGTAGGGCGACCCCCCACGAGATGGAGTGACGACCTGGTAAGACATGCAAGAAGTCGATGGATGCAGGTGGCTCAGGACCGTGCTTTGTGGCATTCCTTCGGGCAGGCCTATGTTCAGCAGTGGACAGTGGACTTATGAAAGGCTGTAATGATGATGAAGTTGCAAAATAATTATTATTTTGCAACTTTATTTTAATTTTTAACATAGTTTATTTGCAAAATAAGTAGTTAAAATATATAATAGTCACCAGAGGGGTATGATCGGGTGCTAGCCTAGTGCTGTCGATATTAAATCCGCCTCTGGGGCCAGGATACTAAAACCAACCCTTTCTTTGTTTTGTACTGGTTGAGGCAGGGTATGAGAAACAGTTAAGAGAAGTGAACAGAGGTAAGTCACCTAAAAAGAGAATTAACCAGCTATTACAGCTAAGAGCCGAAAAAGAAATAGGTAAGTAAAAGATTTAGTAATTAAATTTATTTCATTTACTTTCATTATCAATGCATGTTTCAATAAGTTTTTCAACCAGCTTAGTTCTTTGCTTCGCTATTTTTAAAGCCTGTTTTTCATCTTCCATAGATAATGTACTACCACCAAACTTCTGTGTCCCACATAGAAATCCTTTATTCCAACAAACTATTAAATTAGCACCATTCCCACCACACATATCCTCTTCATAAGCTGATGGATCAGTTAACAATATACTCCTAGAAAATAAAAATTAGACACTATAGAATTATCTTTTCTTTATATAATTGAACAAAATGAACATTAAAAACTTAGCATAATTTAAAAAAATGGTTCATTACATACTTTTCAAAAAATGGAAAAATGGCAAAACTTGTTGCAACCGGTAGACCATTTACTTTTAAAGGTGATCTTTTGGTTATATCAACTTTGATATCTTCTGTTTCTGGGTCATATGTGACATTCGGCAGAGTTACTGAAATTATTGTACAAATACCTTTTTTGAGTACCCATTAAAACAAAAAAAAAAGCATGTGTGAAGTTCACATGCCGTAAAAATGAAACTTTCAAATGAAATGTAATATAAAACAAAAATATTTCACACCAAATGATTTAATTTGATAATTTTCAACCACAAGTGTAGCATAAAATATAAAAGTTTAATTTTATAGCAAATAAATGTTACAATCCTTGTTTTAAGACTTAATTTTAGTGTTATAAATCAAAATATTTTCTTTCTAATAATTTTTTTTAATAGCGCCATTTACTTCTTTCTATAGGTTAAGTCTTTATTGAACAAAATTTTATTGACTATCAAGGTGGTACATCCAATAAACAATAGATGTCATGAATTTATGAAATTGTGGATTAGTGAAAATGGATTAGTATATTAAGATAATTTCATTGAATGGTTAATTTAATTTTAATTTATTTAATAAATTTGTAAATTTTTTTTTTGTAGCTGTTAAAATGTATATTAACGATCTTTAAAGAACTGCACAAAGAGGAAACAGAAATAATAGGATACACTATTTAAAAAAATGCTAACAATGCTATTAACATTACTAAAATTCCCTTTAACAATTATTGCTATGATTAAAAATTTGCAGATTGGAACCCACCTTTTGAGTTTGCGGTCCGCAACCTTGCCACTAGATTACTGTCACTTACTACACTGTATTCTAAGTCATTCTATTACAGGCTAAATCCTAAACATGTATGTATATGTTTGTCATTTTTAGTGTTGCTTTTTGGTTTCATCGCAAATCTCAAATCACAACGATACTAAAGAAGTTTCACTTCAATAAACCTTTAAATTAACAAGTAAAACCTCTAAGAGATCTAAGAGATCTTAACGGTTAGCCACCGTAGAGTCTATATAACCTGAGGATGCCTTGAGTAGAGGCGAAACACGTGTCGTATTGTCGTCAGTGGTGTCTTTCCTAGTGTAGTGGTGTTGGGAATAGTGGTGCTGGGATTAGTGGTGACGGGGATAGTGCACGCAATTGAGGGTGGGCGGGAGGTGCTCTTCAAACTAGGTAAGACACATCATTCTATTTTATCAAGCGGATGTACGCAAATTAATTTTTTGTCAACTTTAATATAATGGACTTCCGCAAAGTAACGCCTGATTCTATTAATTATCTTAAAACTCTTTTGCCTCGGAGTCCTACTGAGTATCACCCTTTCAATTTTTTCTAACAAGCTGCAATAAATTTAAAGAGCTGGTATAATTACAGACCGTGAGGCATTCCATCTAAGTCCTCAGAGATGATAACACATCTCTTCCTTATTTGAAGTAGGTTGCACATGTTCATGCAACCAACTTCAAATAAGTAAGCCTACTACAGTAGCCAATTACCATCAGGTGGAAAAAGTTTATCACATTCATTTTATAAGAAAAGAAAAAAACAACTTACATGTCTTCAGACTTGATATTAGGGCCATTACACAAGCATCTATAAGACCACCATCATTATCTATACAAACAATATCACAATATAAAACCCAAGCAAGTTTGTCATATACAATACAGAGGTCCTTTAAATTGATACATTCTGAATTCATAACTATATCTGTTACAATGTTGCTTACGACTTGTGCATAATCAGATGGTGGACCTGGTCTAAATTTTGATGAACATAGAGGAAGCAATTCCACATTTGTAACTAAGAAACCTGAATCCGGTTCTTCTGCCTTTGGTGTGGCTAACTCCTAAAATTTTATCTTTTGTTAAAAAAAAATCTTAAAAAATTAATAATTAAACGTTCAACATCTATTACCAATTTTATGCCACAAATAACCGTTGTATTCCCGCATTTTACTACTCCACTGGCTTCTGAAGCTTTAATGGAATTGACATTCAATTTTATGTTTCGATGTTCATGAAATTGCCTTCCATCTGGTCGAACATTTCGAGAAATATAATCATTAAAATATTTAACAGGATGTATGAGTCTGTAAATATCGAATTAATATGTTATTAAAAAATAATCAATTATATGGTATGTCTAAAATAATTGTTGGTACAAAATAATAATACAACAAACTTGTAAATCTCTGCCATTTTTCATGTAACAGTAAATAAAGTCTTTTGTACATACAACTTTATAATTTGTGATAAAGTCTTGCACGTCTTGCAATATTTGTTTTTTAAATTTTTTATACAGTTTTTACAAAGCACAGAGTACCTTTGTATAAACCGAAATTACAAAGTAGTCTTGGGCTCTTGGGTAGTTCGCGAACGACCTAGGTTGGAAGAGCGATCTTTTAGGTGAACTATGCGAACTAGTTCGTCGACAATCACGCTCTTAGTTCTTTAATTATTTATTTTTCTTGCGTCCACTCTATTATGGAGATACATGGCTAACCGACTGATTTATTTTTATTCTTACCGTTCTTACCAGAGTTTCTTATTAAAATATATAATTTATAGTCTATACTTAGTTTTATTAGTGCACAATTCACAACAAATAACAAATATTGCTGGCTCACAATATTAATATGAAAGTGATAGTAAGCAGTATATAAATACCGTATAGTTCTCAATTCGATTTTACGGTAAGTTTATTCAAAATTAATATTTTACATTTCTTTTTCCACTAATTTTATTAAATACTTGAATACAGTGCAACCTCAATATAACGAAACTGAATGGAATTAGAAAGTATTCGTTATTATACCATGTAATTCGTTATAATGAGGTTTGTTATATAGAGGTTAGGTGGAACTACAATGCGTTTTAACAAGGTAAGAAAACTTGTTTATTAATCTCAACATTACGTAAATAGTCATCTACCTGTCGTATACGTGTCTGAACCTGCCAAGACATGATTTACTGTGAAATTAAGTAGGAATAATTAATAGTATATGTTATGTCAAGATTTCTAGTTGTGAAAATTGGTTAAAAAGAGATAAATAATTTCTTCTATATATATTCCGCAATAATTGAAAATTCGATATAAAGATGTTTCTGATAAAATCTATTCGTAATGTAGAGTTACATTTTGCATTAGCTCCTACAGGCAGTTCTAGGGGATTTCGAAAAATTCGTTAAACCGAGGAATTCGTTACATTGAGGTTTGTTATATCAAGGTTACACTATGTTACTATGTTACATTAATTAGCGACATGTAATCTTTAAATTACAGTTGCGTTATTTTCAATAATCCAATACACTTCAAAAATATAAAAACATGTTTAGCTTCGTTTATTACATTTTATTTTAATGTCCATATCATCAAATAGTTCTTGATAAGTATCATGCATATATTATACATTATGTAGTATATTACATACTAATTAAATCATTAATTTTTTTTAACGTAAATTCAATTAATTGTTATTTACTGACATTCAATAAACTCATCTTTTTAATAAGATCTACTGAAAAATTAAAAAAGAACTAACGAACTAAATGAGCGAACTAGTTCGCTATAGGACTAGGAACTAAATTGAGCGCTCCCAATGGCGACCGACTATGCCCAAGACTATTACAAAGTTGAAAGTTGTAACGATTCTCCAAAAAAGGCGGCCTAAGGTCTTAGACCAAACAGCCTTGTGTAAATAATATTTATATTGACCAGAATCAGACGGAAAATATTCATAAAACTCTTTACAATATGCTGACGTGTCACATTGAAAAGTTCTTAAGAAGGCATCTAACTTGTCTTTATATATTAGTAAAAAACCTGGAATACAATAAAGCAAGAGGTAGCCCAAAGTGAACGGGACAGGCGTTTCACAATTGGGGACAGTAGAGCCTAATGGACTATCAGTCGCAGGCTCAAACTGTCTCTATGCGTAAATATGCCGTTTTGTGCAACGGAAAATCTGTCCAAGTGGGCAAAATTTAAAAAATAAAGAAAATAATATGTACCAGCCTCCGTCGTTTTTCCGACCGTATTTATAATATAAAAATTAATCGCTGAATGTGTTTCTAAGCGCAAATTTCGATAGCAGCTGAACCGATTTCGCTAATTCTTTTTTTGTAATATTCCTTGAAGTACGAAGATGGTTCTTACGGAGAGAAAAATTTTAAAAATTGCCTGAAAAAGTCTAACAACAACACTTTTCTATAGTCCCATACAAAAGATTCGTAATAATACTTAAAAGTCAATTTGAACTTTAATACCATACCATAAAGTTTAAGTGTTAGTGGAGGGGTTCCGGGAAGGCAAAACAATTGAGTGACGTTAGTATCGTATAAATATTAATTTCAATATTTGTCAATATTTATACATACTGGCAGATAGCTGATGTTATAAGGGCTATAACTTGGGCTGCTTTTATTTTATGGTTTCGCGTAAAATAACTCCACGCGGGTGAAATCGCGGGGAACAGCTAGTGTAAAATAAATTTATATGAATTATTATTTATTTATAATCTTTGCGTTATAGCATCGTGTGGGTGATAGCTCACGCTCATGAAGTTTCGTATTTATTTAGGCAAACTGTCATACGGATATTTTTCTATTTTATGGATGGGTACCGCCCACTTACGACAGTGATGTTGTACGCTAAACTATGACAAGCCATAACGAACAACCAGATTATCAAAAATCGGTTTTAAAGTAAATCGAATATACAGGGTATTTTTGGAACGCTCCCGAAAACTAAGACAGGCGACAACACCAAGTACACCTTTGATCATGGGTTACAAATAAATTCGATCCTGATGAAAAAAAAATCATCTTTTTACAACGTTTTATTAGCTTTATTCACGCGCCATCATGTTAGTACAGCTAAATTAATCGATAATTTCATAAAATATATCATGAAAATACTGAAACATAAAACCAGCAGTGGAATGACTGAATTTATATCACCTGACTGAAAGGTCAATGTACGCGCGAACGCAAATTCGCGCGACCCGCAACTAGCGGGCCATACCACAATATCTAATAATTTACAACACTTGTCTAAATACCTAACTTATCTACTTAACCTACTATTTTGCCACTGTGCTTGTCTTCACTTAGCCACTTTAATCCGAATTTACAGGTTAAATAACCCAAATAACTGGTTCGATTCCCCGCTAATGAAAAAATACTTAAATGAAATGTAACCAAGGTTGGAGTCATGAGTTTTTATTCATCGTGTAGGTATGTTTATTATTCTCATGTATTCAGTTATGTACCTATTCAGATTAGTCTAGTACTAAGTTATTTAAAAAAAAATAGGTATGAAACAGCTTACCGCTCTAAATCCTCCGTGGTCTTATGAGATGCGTCTCAAATTGTGCTCCATTCATTTCAAGGTAGATTTGGGTGCAGGCGGGGCATCATCGTGTGGTCTTCGACACAGTCCGTACCTAGTTTCTCGAAAGCATCCACGATCCTTTGGCGCATTTCTTCAGCACTATCACATTCACGATTAAAAACCCTTTCTTTCACATACCCCACAAAATGAAGTCTAACGGAGTCAGATCTGGTGAGCGAGGTGGCCAAGCGTGTGGTCCTAGTCTGCCGATCCAGCGATCATCAAATAGCTCATTGAGGCGCTCACGGACGAACCTCACGAAATGTGGAGGGGCACCATCATGTTGGAACCATGTGCGGCGATATTCAGCCAACGATAGGTCGTTTAAAATGTCAACCAACTGTTCATTTATAAAGTTTAGGTATCGCTGTCCGTTCAGTCGCTCTGGCAGAAACACTGGTCCCAGTATGCGATCCTTAAATAAACCTGCCCATACGTTAACCGACCATCGGGTTTGGTGCCCGGTTTGTCGAACAGCGTGCGGGTTAACCTCTGAATACACGTGTGTATTTCTTCGGTTCCACAGGCCGTTTCTGGTAAATGTCAACTGATCCGTCCAGATAATGTGCTCAATGGAACCAGGCACACGTTGTTGCTGGTATAATAACCAACGGCAGAAAACTCGTCGGCGGTCGTGATCGCCGGGAACTAAAGCTTGCACTTTGTGCAATTTGTATGGGCGCATTCGGTTACGCTTCAACACTTTGTGCACTGCACAGTATGACACACTTGTTCCATCCCGACGTCTTAACAATTTATTTAGCGATACTTCGTGTACCTAGGTTCGGATACCTAACATGTTGCCGTATTCATAATCACTATAAACGTACGCGTTAAGCATTATTAAAACAAAAAACGTAACAACAAGAATAATACCAACAGGTAATCACAAGTATTAACAATTTAATAAAGAAAACGATTGAGCTGTCGCTCGCGCACGCGTGTACAAAATCAACACGGAACTGTTTCAAAAACTACAATTAATAACGAACCCCGACAAAAGTGAAACCTACTGCGTCACAGCGTGAGGCGACACGAGCCGGCCGGGTTACATTCTGCCGTCATAATAAAGAAGGACGCAACTAACAAAAACGTAAAATGGAAATAAAAAATAAATTTATGAATTTTTCTTTCAGACCCCGTGTCTAAAGTATATTAAAAGGTATCTATATGAAAATTGAAATATGTACGTAGAGACATGAAGATTTTAAGGACCAACTTATTTTTTTTGATAATTTGTTTATTTATTTAAATAAAACGAATTTTCCTTTTCATCTTAGATTAAAAAATACACCTGGCAACACAAAAACATCGAAGGAAAGACGCATAATATAACTATTTGCGTCTTTCCAACCTAATAAATAAAAAAAACTGCCATTCATTTAACATTTTTACATATTTTGGAAAGGTCATTTGAAGTTGAAAGGACGCTAATAGTAATTTACTACTTTTTTCTTAGTAAATATTAGAAAAGCGTTGGTAGTCAGACACAAAAAATAACAACCCGCAACTCTTGAGTAATGATTTTAAAGGGGATATCATACAAGACTTACTACGATAATAATTAAAAATTAAAAATTTTGTACAACCGACTTTAATATAAATAATTAAGGATGACTCAAAAACTATTGGTCTGACCTCGATCAAATTTATATGGGACCACATGTGAAACACCAGCTCTTAGTAATAAGATATAAGGCGAGAATTTAGTGTCCACTGTCATTAACCTCAGTAAAGTGATATCCTGTGATATAAGCGAGAACCAAATACATCATGTTACTAAAATTGCAAAACGCGATACAAATAGCAAACGCCCGAAGTCTATCGTTGTTCAGTTCAACTCTCCACGCACTCGAGATACTTTTCTGGTAGCTTCAATTAAGTACAACAAAGCTAATCCAAATGAGAAATTAAATAGTAATCTACTTGGCATAGGAGGTGCCAAGGAGAATGTCTATGTTGTCGAGCACTTATCTCCGACGAATAAATATTTACACGCTGCAGCCCGAAAGAAAGCAAAAGAATTGAACTATAAGTTTGTTTGGGTTCGCAGGGGTAGAATTTTCATGAGGAAGTCAGAAACCAGCGACTATAAATATATTAGAGACCTCAAAACTTTAGATAGTCTTAGTTAGGCACCTTTAGTTATAGTTGTTTTATTTTTGTATGCAATGGTTTATTATTCTCTTAAATTCACACGGTTAAAGATATACTACCAAAATGTCAGAGGTATTAGAACAAAATTGAAAGATGTTTATTGTCAGATAGCTTGTTGCGATTACGATGTGATTGTATTTACGGAAACATGGCTTTTGAATGGCATATATGACTCAGAGATCACAGATGACCGATATGTTTTGTATAGGCGCGACAGAAGTAAAAGTATTTTTAATAGCAAAGACAGTGGCGGCGGTGTTTTGATAGGTATTTCTAGAAAATACAAATCGTATAGAGTCCTTGATTATGAAAGCTCTTGTGATGATCTCTGGGTCAAATTGCTTTTGCCGACATGCAACGGGATTCAGGAGATTTCAATATGTGGAGTTTATTTGCCTTCTCCAATTAAGGTTAATATATTGGATCATTTCATTAGTAACGCTAACAGAGTATTGGAAGAGGTGGCGGAATGTCTGATTCTAGGCGATTTTAATATAAATACTATCAACTGGACTTACAATAATGACAGTATAGTTAATTCACGCCAATGTGCTAATTCTAAAGTTGAACAATCATTGTGGGATTTCATAACGTTAAACGACCTTAGGCAGCATAATGACTTGTTAAATCATAATAAGAGAATCCTCGATCTGGTGTTATCGAATATGGATAATATTAACATAGGCAAGCCCAGCCACGTGCTATCCAAAATTGATCTTCACCATCCACCTGTACAAGTTTCGCTTACCTTTTCTAAGAAAGTCGTTAATATACCGATTACCATTCATACAAAATTAAATTATTTTAAAGCTGATTATAATTCAATTTGCACAGCGCTTCAAGAAATTGAGTGGCATTGGGAATTCTCTTCATGCGTCTCAGTCGATGCCATGGTTGAGAAGTTCTACTATATAATACGTGAACTAATACACAAACATGTACCACGAAAGATCGTAAAAAATAATAAGTATCCATATTGGTTCTCAAAATAACTAATAAAAAGATTGAATGAAAAGAATCGATTGAGGTTGAGAGTTAAAAAATATAATAACCCGATGGATGTGATCTCATTAAA